TGTGATTAAATTAGAGGTCTGGAGATAGGAAAAGTATTCTGGATTATCCAGGTGAGCTCAGTGGTGTAATCACAAGTGTCTGTACAAGAGGGAAGCAGAGGGAGATGTGAGACTACAGAGAGGAGAAGTGATGTGATAATGAAAGCAAAGAGAGATGTGAAGACGCTGTGCTCCTGGCTTTGAAGGTGGAGGAAGGGGCCGTGAGCCAAGGAAAGCAAGGAGTGCCGCTCTACAAGCTGCAAAGGAAAGGATTCTCTCCTCGAATCCAAAACCTTAACCTTAGCTCAGAGAAATAGATTTCAGATTTCTACCCTCTAGAACTGCAAAATACATTTGTATTGTTTAAGTGTAATTTATTATAGCAGTAGTAGGAAACTAATACAGCTAGTTACTCCCCAAATTACTACACAGCAATAGAAAACCAAAAATAGAAAAGAAAAAAAAAAAGGCCACAAAGCCACATTTCCCTTCAGCCAGAACCTAGATCTCTACTGAAGGAAGCTTCCGATGGAATATTTGCAAAATGTTCCAGCTACCACTATTTTTGTAGAAAGGTTTCTCAAAGCTGTCCATGAGGTGGAATATTCAGTGAAATGGTTTGTAAAAGTTATCAGAGGTAACCAAGCTTGGAAATATCCTTAGGTTCAGCAACAGAACAATTTTGTTTTAATCTCTCCTGGAAATTTTCTTTTTATTCCTGTTCTCTAGGGAGAAATGAAGTGAACTATGTAATTTAGTAATTATACAGGAACTTCGGGCTAATTTGTTTTCCTGACTTTTTTAGAGATGGCTATAGCAGGTTTTTTTTTTTTTTCCTACAAGTAATCATGGAAGAAAATAAGAAGCAAATGTATGATTTTTATGAAATGGAGAGAGATTGAACTGCAAAACACTTTATGAAGATGCAACTTCGAAAATGTGTTACTTATAAATTGCATACAGTATACATATATGAAAGCAAGCACAGTAATTGTCAGTTCTTTTGAATATTAAGTAAATTTCCTTATTAGTTATCGCTTGTTACATAACACATCACCCCACAACTTACTAGCTTAAAACTGTAACCATTTATTTGCTCATGATTCTGCAGTTTGGGCACAACCCAATTGGTGGGTTCTTTTGCTGCCTGGGCTCACCCTTGCAGCTGGAGAAATTTGACAACTCAGCTGAGGTCGAGGAGTCCAAAAGGATTTCGTTCACAGGCCTGGAAGTTGATGCTGGCTATTGGCTGTGGCACCCTGGCTCTCCTTTATGTTGTCTCATTATCTGATCGGCTAGACTAGGTTTCCTCAATGGAAACATTCCAAGAGGGCAAAAGCAGTAGCTGCTGTTCTCTTCAGGCTTAGCCTGAGCAGTCACACAGTGGTACTTCCATCACATTCTCTTGGTGAAAGCAAATCGCAAGGGGTGGAAAAATAGCGTCCACTTCTCAATGGACAGAGTGTAAAGCCTGTCTGCAAAGGATGTGGATATAAGATAGTAAGGTTCATTAGGAAATACTTGTAACCATTTACCACCCATCTCCAAAGCACACAATCTCCACTTCTTATCTTTACCCAGACAAGGTGGGCCTTTGTTTTTTTTCTTAATCAGTGATGACTAATGGTGAGAAATAGTAGGCATGGGAGGAAGGATTGTGGAAATTTAATTGGGAAAAGCAGATTACTTGAATACTTGAGGGCATATGTGTGGGCATTTGTTTCTTCTTGCTATTGTTTTTTTTTTTTCTTTACCATTTTCTTTCAAATATGTTCTTTGAATATAGAAATACTCTTCTATTTGTATACAGAAAATGTTGTGAGATTGTACAGAAACGTATTGAAAATCAGAGTCCTTTGATCTCTGGTTCTATGTGTTTGTGAAGGGAAAGTGGTTAAATCTATAGTTTTGAGAAGTAGGCTGTGAAAATGGATGATAGGACTACTAGGAAATTGCTTTAGGGCAGTAGCTCTCAACCCGGCTGCACCTTAGATCATCTGGGGAGCTTATAAAAACGTTGATGCTCAAGTCCTATCCCAGCCCAATTACATCAGCATTTCTAGGTATCCATATTTTGTAAAAGTTTCCCAGGAGCGTCTAATGTGCAGCCAGGATTTAGGACCACTCACTGCTTCAAGGGTTAGAGATTTGGAGGAATGGTTTACAATAATGAGGTTTGGGGATATAGGATAGAAATGTTGGGCTTGGACAGGAGCCTTCAGCCAGAGCTGATAAACTGACAGTGCCTCAAGGTGGAAAAATTATTAACCTTCCTGTTAGATTGGATAGAAGAGAAAGTGTCCTAATTTTCTGACAGGGCTCCTAATTTTTTAATATATTAGTAGAGGGCAAAATAGCATCAATGAGAGTACATTATTTTGAGCTAGAGTAATTGAAACTCATAGTGGAATGGCTAGAGCTAAAATAATTTTCATATACCAAATGCATTTTTATGTCCTCTGTTTAAAAGAACAAAATTCATAACTAGAGCTTTGTAATTTGTACTCTGTGAAGATTATTCTTCACTCACTTATAGCTAGAGTTGAAAGTATATCGTTTAAAAGTTGGTGAGGCTTTTCAAAGGAGTGAGGGACTATGCTAACTTCTTTCAATAATCCTTAAATATATTACCCCCAGAAATGGAAAAAAACATATTTGCAAATAGTATGCAAACGATTTGTCCAGTTGGACTGTATTATATAGGAGAGAACTGTTAGCCAGTTGGGGAATTTACAAGGCTGTCGAGTAATCTGGGATGGATAGAAATGTGCTTGTGTATTGATGCCACTGCAGTTTTGCTTGCTACTAGCAAAGCTCCTTTCTCACTAATATTTTCCATAGTGAACGGAGTGTTTGTTTCTGACCTATTCACAAAGGACTGAGATAATCAGACACTTCATTTGTTGACCTTCAAAAGTGGCTGATTAGAAACAGCATCTTGATGGCTCAACCCCGTCATCCCAAATCAAGACTTGATTGTGAATGGGGATTGTAATATGATACTGTACCTGAAGTGAAAGATTAATGTCTCAGACTGGGTGAAGCCATCAAGTAGGTAATATTTCTTTTTTTTCTTTTTCCCTTAAAAAGTAATTACGGGTGGAGTAAAGAATACATTCAGGCATTCAAAGATTTAAGATGACATGAAGTCTTTGGAGGTAGAGTTATAAAAGTTGATTTATACCAGAGGATCCAGAAAAACTAGTTCAATGAAGCCATCTCTGTATATAGAGACTCTTTGCTTCAACCTAAGTCTCGAGGATAGAAAAATCAGCATTGAGATGAAAAATTCCATCTCAGGAAAACACTCCATATTAAGGCTGAGGATTAAAAGTAAAATAAAATAAAATTACCACTTTGATCCTGAAGGTAAATGTAAAGTAAACTGCAGCAAAAGGCCTTTTTTGTTTAAGGATTCCCAGTTCTTTGAGGTGAGGTGTGTGCTGTTTTTACTAAAGATTATATGACTGATTACTCTTCACATACTGACAGCCCCCTGTGGTGTCTTTTATGTGCGTCTTGGGGGGTTATATTAAAGCTCTGTTCTTCTGTGTAGTGGCCACCTGTTCTTAAAAAAGGTTGTATCAGACATTCTTGGAAATAATGTTGTGCTCCAAAGCACAGTGCAGACTGGTGAGACTTGCCTGCATGTAAACTGTGCAGTAGAGTGAATAGCGATCAACTGGGGAGGATGGAGCCCCAGGCAAGGGAGGATGTCTGTTTGGTTGTTATATTTATCAGGAATTATACTGAAACCCAAGTCTGATTATGGACAGTGTGGTATCCTGAAGTAAAGATAATGAGTAAACAAGAACAAGGAAGAACCTTCTTTTTCTGTGACGTGTATGCATAAATGAGCTTTACAAATTTATTTTACTTCCCTAATTGATTTCATGGAGGAGAGGAATCTTATTGAGTAAATATGGGAAAAGCAATTTTTACAGCAAGCCCTAGTGTAAAGTAAATGATTACTAGAGGTTCTCAAAGTAATTATATAACATGGAAATCAATATGAAACGCTATTACAGCATTTATTTTACTTATGAACCCATGTGTATATGGTTGAGAATGATTGCAATCTTGCTATAAACGAAGCTTTCAAAATAACGAAAAAGTAAATCTCTTCTATGACAATATCAAATACAGTTAAAAACAGATTTGATAAAATAATATAAAAAACTTTATATGTTTAAGTGTTAAAATATTTCTAGTATGATAATATGACTTCCTATGGCCTACCAAAAGTTGGCATGTTCTTTGTCTTGATTTTTTTTTCCCTTTAAGTTCTCCTTAAATTGGAAGTACTTGTTTTTCTGTCCTCCAGTCATTACTCTGTTTCTACATGCTGTCCTTGGGTTGTTTTGACTATTCTTTTGGTTTTAAAATCCAGGGTTGTCAAATCTATTATTTCAAATTTATCATATTTAAAATAAAGCTCATTATCTACCTTCTTTAAATCTCTTTATGTTTTCTTGTTTACTCTCAATAAATGGCATCGCAATCCACATATTCAGGTAGACTGGAATCCCAGGTGTCATCATATCTGTCCACCCCAATACCCAGTCTTCAAGCTCTATTGATGTTCAATGTTCTTTTCCCCTTCTCTACCACAAGTCTAAATTTCGGGCCTCCTCATTTTTCACCTGAACATTGCAACAGCTTTCTAAGTAGTCTCTAGTATCGCACCACTTACTGGTAAAACATCCAGGTTCTTTGGCATTGCGTTCAGGGCCATTCACAGCATGGTCCTTGCAAGCCTAATCTTTCATCCGTTTTCTGCAATTCACCCGAGGCCTCTCTCTCTTACTTGTTCTCTGGTGAAAATAAACTTCTAGGAGATCCTGAGTCTTTCCTATCTCACCTTTATACGCCTTTCTCCCTCCTCTTGGAAGACCCTTTCTATTTTAATTGTCCACTTGGTAAGTCTCTTTTCGTCTTTTGTAGCACCACTCTTCCACCCCACATCACGTATTAGTGATGATCCCATGGAATTATTATGTGACCTGTGCCCTTTTTGCAAGTGCTACCTTGACTTAAAACTTTCTACAAAGAAGTTTATGTTGGTAAAATGCCACTTGCGAATTAAAGCATAGTACTTTGAGAAGTCCAATGACATTGTAAAGAACTAGAAACTGTTAACAATGGTACTCTCTCTCTCTGTCTGTCTCTCAAGGCTGGTATACTCGAGAGGCATAGTATCTATACCAGGATCCGAGCTCATGTGTGCGTGTTGGGGGGTGCTGGGTGGTGATCATGGTGTTTATGGTAGAGAGGGGAGAGCCAGACAGGATGTGTCTTTCTGTCTCAGGAAGCCAGAAAGGTAAAAAGTCAAAGAGGCTAGTGTAAGACAGAGTCTTCAGAGAGCACTGAAGATCAAAGCAAAGATACAAAATGCAAACAGCAAGTTTAAATGTTGGTGCAAGTGTTGACACAATGAGATGAAGCTGAGCAGGGAGTCAGGTAAAAATGGAACTGAATAGGAGCAGGGAGGGAATAGAGCAGGTTGGTTTCTGGGCCACTGCCAGGATCAGGCATGAAATGTTCTTAGCCTGTCATTCTTCTTGGAGGGTGCATGGAAGCGTGGTGCTTGGATACCTTGGACAGACACAGGCTACTGATTTCAGCGACCTCTCCTGCCCCATTGCTAAACTCATATTATAATGAAGGCCAATAACTCCTGCTTTGTGGTTTCTAAATGACTGGGCTTGGAATTGGACTCTAGATTTATTTCTCCAGTATTTTTCAGCTCTACTGTGAATAATAAAATAAATCTATGATTTATTTTTATTTGATTATCTTATGTGGACCATAATTGCATTTTGCTAATTTAGAGGTAAATGCCATGTCAGCTTGGTTTTTCTCTGTTACTTAGTTTCTATTTTCCTTTTTAGATTGAAAGATTGTGATACACACTTGTAACATCCTAAATTAACAGAATTTCTTGAAAGTATATAGTATGCTTTTTCTGACAGTTCTACATTTTCTACATCAGATTTGTTAGATGAAGCTTTAGGTATTATGAAGAAATTCAGTGGATTTATGTATTGGCAATATATCTTAAATTGTGTTTTTATATCTTTTTCTTTTGGTACCTCATACAAATATACTCAACATTAGAAGAACTGTATGGAAGTGCGTACTTTGTAAGCACAATTTGATGACTGAGAAATTAGACATTTAAGTCTACAATGATTGGTGTAAAGTACAATGGATGAGACTATGCAGTTGAATTTCCCAAATGATAGAAAATAGGCAGTAAAGAAATATATACAAAATAAATTTCAAGAGTTGTTTGATGTTTATCTGTCACTACAAATTATCTTGGAGACAGTACAGATAATCTGAATGCAAAATTGCATCATAAATATCTTCCTCTGAGCCATTTTTAGTGACTCTTTTGTAAAATGTTATTTATACAGTGATTCTACGGTATCTTCTCTTGCTTTATTCGTCTACCTCCTTCTGCTGATTCTTCTGACATCAGACCTCTGTAAGATCTGCCAGAGATGCTCTCCTGGCCTAAGAAATCAAGCATGGGTGAGACCTGGTGCAGAACAGGAAGGCGACCCATACTTGGTTTCAGAGGCTGTGAGAATACCTACGGTCTAGAGAGAAAGCCATTTATGTTTATGCAGGCCTTTCAGAGAACAAAATCTTCAAGGCAACCTTGTTTTATTACAGACAGAAACAACTAAGAAACAGATATAATTCGTAACTGTTCTGGTCCAATAGGATTTTCAGAACTTTCTAAAGGACAGGAACCAGGTTGACAGATAATGATTTGACACCTCTGCTAATGATTTTTAAAACACTGTGCAAATATGAAGCTTCTTCCTTCTTAAGGACATACCTCCTCTTCCCTGACCTGTCCAGCTGTGGTTGTTAGTTGTCCATGGCTTTGGAATAGCTCCTTAAGGGCTAAGAGAGAGGGATGGAGATGCGAGGACAGAGTATGGATTTAGTGGGGCCTCATTTGTGCTTTGGCATCTACCCACCCTTTCTCTAACCACATATTTTTCACACACCCAGCCCCACTCACAGCTGCTTGCCTATAGGGCCAAAAATCTTTAGTTAGTGATCTGCCAGAATTCCACTTTTCTATGTAGGAGATTGGAGTTATTTCAAATAACCCATCTGGTGGGCTGAAGAGCAGTAAAGAAACTGAGGTAGATAAAATATATATTGTTAAATACTTGGTTGCGTGCCTTGTATCTTTGCTGATAATTTATTTGTTGAGCTTGTATTTGTTCATTTTTGTTTGTTTGTTTGTCTTCTACTCTTTAATTTTACTGGGGGGATGGATAGTGGGCATGGTGGTGTTGATACGTATTGTTATCTCTTAGGCCAGAGGAACCAGTTCAAAATTGCTTTTTATTTTCTCAATCAGAATTCCGAAGACCTGGATCCTTGGCATAAAAATTTAAGCTAGAAAGGCAAGTTCTGCCAAGTATATATTACATACCTCCTGGCCATGGATTTTGGTAGGCTTCCTTAGAGAAATATGAAAGTCGTTTCCAATAAAGACTTATTCTGTATTTCCTTCATTGAATTTCATATTTGTACATTTTTTATTTATAAACGGTATTACTTTGTTCCACTTAAGATAGTTTAATCTAAAATATGCAAAATTAATAAAGAACACATCCCCATTTTGTTGAGTTCTGATACTTAAAGCAAATTCTGTGCTTAGACTTTTCATTTGTTGTCAAATGAGTTGGAGAAACTCAGTTTCTTTTGAACTGTTTTCTCAGTTAAAGAACTTCCCTTGGATAGCCTAGAGAAGTGCTGTCCAGTAGATTTTTCTGCAGTGACGGAAGTGACCTACCGTATTAGAGGTCTAATATGGTAACCAATAGCCAAAGGACACTGGATATATGGCTAGCACAATTGAAGAACTAAATAATTTATAGAGCTTCATGTGGTTAGTGGATACTGTATTGGACAGCACAGTTCTAGAGTACTTCAGTCATTTAGACAGTTTCTTCTAGGTTAAAAATTCACCAAATGCATCATTTTTCAGTTCTCTTATGGATTTCATAGGTTTTGATTAGTAATTTAAGCTTATATCCTTTCTTTGTCTTCTTTTTGGTTGCACCACGAGTGCAGGATCTTAGTTCCCTGACCAGGGATCGAACATGCGCCCACGGCAATGAAAGCGCCGAGTCCTAACCACTGAACCCGCCAGGGAATTCCCAAGCTTACATATTTTAGAACAGTTTTAATTCATTACCATCTCCTTACACAATAAACTGTCCACAAAAGAGTGAGCTAAAACAGTTTTCCAAGTTTTAAAATATTTCTGTGGATGCCACTTTATTTTTAATAAAAGCACTCATTAGATTTCTGCTGAAAGCTAACAGCTGGCCAATTACCAAGCAATGACCACACACTGAGTGTTAGTCTTTGGCCAGTATTGCAGAAAATACTCCATAAGTTACAAAAAAAGATTTGATGTGATCCCTCTTCTCAATAATATTACAGTATTACTAGAAAGACAAAACTAGCAGGCAAGAAATAATTAAAAATCAATCAGTGCTAAACTTTATTATGCAAAATAGGAGTGAAGAAGACTTTAAAGTCTAAAGGAGCCTTAGAAATCATGTATTCTGAACTTCAGACATGATAAAATTGTATTTCGGTGGGCTTACCCATTCAAGATTTCACAGCCAGCTAAAGACACACCCAGAACATGAATGAAGGTTCTTCTGATCCTCAATCTGTTGGTGTTTCCACATTGCCTTTAAGACTTGCCTCCTAGAGGAGACTGGCTTTTTTACCATTCATTAAAAAGAAAGCTTGAGGTCAAGCAATTATAAAGCAAATTCCATTTCAAATATCAGTTTCCTGTAGCAGAGTGTTTTCCAAACTTAATTGTTTAGTTAACACATTCATAAGTTTTGTCATATCCTTTTACCACTTGTATTATTATTTATAAATACTTCTTTTATTTTTGATTTAAAATTTATTACAAGGAAAATGGAAAAACAATATCAGTTATCATAAATAAATGGTAACTGGGAAATAAATACAGGAAAAATAAAAGCTAAACTGTGCTATAAATTCCTAGGCAGACACTTCACCTTAGCCAGAGGACTGTTCTTATGAAGCATATTAGTAAGTGTTGGAAAGCCTTAGATACAGTAGTCCCACATTACCATAAAGAGCAATCCTTTTCTTCACTTCGAGTTTTAAAACTGTGGGATTTACAAAGTCTCATTGTTGCATCTAATAACTTCTCATTGGCCCCCTCCTGGCTGTTTAAGACTATCTTAGGGTGGAATTAGCCGAGCACCCTTAGTTGGGTACCACACACATACATGTCTGTATGAATTTGTGTGTCTGTGTTGGTCGGTGGTATGGGGTTAATGGTGGTTATGCTTTCAAATTATATAATTGTGTAAGTTTCCTGATTATTTTCCTAATTGAAACAAAGATTGTTTGATCTACTGGATGACTTTTTTTTTTTTTTTTTTTTTGTGGTACACGGGCCTCTCACTGTTGTGGCCTCTCCCGTTGCGGAGCACAGGCTCCAGACGCGCAGGCTCAGCGGCCATGGCTCACGAGCCCAGCCGCTCCACAGCATGTGGGATCCTCCCGGACCGGGGCACAAACCCGTGTCCCCTGCATCGGCAGGCGGACTCCCAACCACTGCGCCACCAGGGAAGTGCTGGATGATGTTTTTGTGTTGTTATTTTTAATAGGGAAAGTAACTGTAATTAAATAATCTTTTCAGGATATTAATTAGATGGAATTTAGCTAGATTATCTCTCCATGTAAAAACATACAATTCTATCATTAATTAAATGAAAACAACTTTTATGGTTGATTGTGGAGCACTCAGGAGTCCACAGGTAACTGTGATTTCTGGAAATGGTTTATTAGGGGGAAAGATGACATACATTATTTCTTTAAAAGGTGGAAAGGGCTGTCAAAGTGGTTTTAAAAACCTGAAAAACATGACTCTCATTCAAATATCAAGTAAGGATACATCATAGTTTATTTAACCCATCAATGAGAGAACCCTTAGGATGGTAGAGTTGGTTTAAAGAGCCT